CAGAAAGGCAGATGTGGCAGTGGAAGGTGTCAAAGCAGTTTGGAGAGAAAAACAAAGTAAAGAACAAAAAAAAAGAAAAAACGATTAATCGATTATTAAATTAGTCATCGATTAATCGTTGCAGCCCTATTTTTATATTATATTATAGATGCTGGATTAAATCTCAAACATCACTCAGACTGAAAACAATCCAGTTTGTGGGATTTCTGATTCAGGACATAATAAAAACAATCTGGAGCAAACAGCTGTGTGTCAACACAGTGATCACAGAGACGCAATAGTTGATGCCCAAAGACCTGAGTGGGGTCAAAGGTCACAACAGAACAATCAGACAGACTGAACTCTGGTTTGTTTGGAAGACTGCAGGAGAAAGTTTCTTCTCTGTAAAACTAATACAGCAGCACCACTKAGCAAAGTTTACCTGAAGGAACCACAACAACGAGACTAAAGTAGAGAGGTTTATTACACAGGCTGTGTGTCTGAGCAGATCATGTAGGTCCAGAGCTGAACTGACCTGAGTAAAGCTGACAGACTTCACGATGTGTTTGTGTGCCAGTGAGAGGACCTCATCTCCGCTGACTGCATCCCACACCTTCCTGTAAATCACACAGGTGAGTCGTTAGACCAAACACAACACCTACAAAAGATTTTTTTTTTAAGTTCATTTTATAACCAAAATATTCTCAAATCTGCTTTTTTCCAATGAAAAAACAGTCATGTAAGTAAAAGTTTGAGTTAAGAAGACACAAGCTCACCAAATACATATCTAAGATATCCTCACCACATGAAGAAAGCATGACTGACATGTCATATTACCAACAATTTGTGTTGAAAGAGCTGATCCAGCTGGTGATGCATCTACAGACTGATCCATTCAGCAGCCTCAGCATGACAAAACAGCCACAAAGTAAACAGTGTCACGCAAAATGTGGAGGTTTACTTTGAGCCGGTACAATCTTCTTTCACTCTGTTGTCATTTTTGAGTAGGGCTGCCACAAACGATTATTTTTATAATCGATTATTCACTGATTTTTTTTTTCGATTAGTCGTCTAACCAGATCATACATTAATTGAATATAAAACATACAGCTTTTCGCGCCAGAATGCAGTTGCTATTATATAATCATTGTTAGATTTTAGCTATATGCTAACTAAAAATAATTGCTGTTGAAGGCAAGTTCTGCYCTGCAGATATTGTACAGGTTTCTCTTTCATTTTCTTAAAATGATCCCACACTTTTTAAATCCGTTGCCAGGTAGCCATGATACCAGAGCCTGTCTGTATAATGTCTTGTGATGTCCACGGCCTACCCCAGTTACCACTACTGTGCATGTGTGTCGAGGACAGAAAGGCAGATGTGGCAGTGGAAGGTGTCAAACCAGTTTGGAGAGACAAACAAAGTAAATAAACAAAAAAACAAAGAAAACGATTAATCGATTATTATATTAGTTATCGATTATTTTAATAATCGATTAGTCGTCGACTAAATCGACTAATAGTGGCAGCCCTGTTTTTGAGTAAGTCGTTTTAAAAAGTCCAAAAAAAAAAAAAAACAATGAGCCTCATGCAAGAACATGCTCGTATTCTTATCCTAAATTTCTCTTACTTTTGTTCGTACGAAGGGTTCGTACGAAATGCCACGTCAGATTCAACAAACCCTTCCATCTTCAGGAAAAGTGTGTAAATGAGGAGCGTAAACTGATGAATGTGTATCAGGTGGTCGTGCACGAGGAGAGGAGATTAGCATAATCTACCACCCCAAAAACACCATAWAAGGCTAAGTTTCCTGTCTCACATACCAGGAAGTGTTCATTCATAAATGACATTGCAAAGTAAAACGAAGAACTTTACGAGTTCAGAGATTTGACGTCCTGCTCTCAGAGATCCAGAAAAAAAAGAAAAAATTCATTTTTAGCCGCGTCAGACCTGCTAAAGACAAGGAATGAAACGACTGTTGTTAATGTGTCTCCTGTGGGTCGTACACAGACGCRGAAATAAAAATATAAATCATATTTATCTCTCTCTCCAGTCCTGCTCTAGTTTTTCTTTGGTCAAATATTTTCAATTTAAGTGTAAACAACTGTGTTACATAGCTTTCATTTATTCAGAGGAGAGGTCGCGCACCGCTACCCACCCCCGGCCGTCTCCCCCCTCCCAACCGTCGCAAGTGTCAGATGCGTTTCTGAAAAAAAGCATTTTAAAATGTCTCCTAACTTCAATTAAAGCATAATATAAGTTGTTTTTAGTTTGAGATCTTCATATTAATATTGTAGTGTTATACAACAGCATTAATAGCCAATTTCATTTAATCTAACGAATTTATGTCATTAGTTACATTTAAAATCTAATTCCAATTCAAACAGAATAATCTATTGTCAACATAGTTATAGAGTGTGATTTATTTTCAACTCGAAATATCAAACTAATGAAATATAAAGTAGGGTTGGGCATAATCGTATCGTGTGCAATTAATCGTCCGAAAAACATTAATCGATTATTTTTTGGCACTTGACGATTAATACGATTAATGCCACCAGGCAGAATCCACTCGGTGCTCCTCTCTGCTTCAAATATGACGAACATTTTATTTTTAAAAGTTCTGTAATTTATTTATCTATCAAGGTCTGTAATTTTAACATAATTTGGAGCAGGTTTTACAAAGAGCAAATCTTTCCCACTAAATTGGTCATGTGACTAGGACATAAAGGTGTCCAGGGACTCCAGGTGATTAATCGTCAAATTAATCGTTATCAGCTAAATACAATTGTGATTTTTTTTGCCAATATTGCCCAACCCTAATATAAAGTTATTAGTGAGAAAAATCCGTCTGATAACAGGAGACTGACTGCTCATAAAATATCCCACAGGTCTGGACCACTCGTGATTTTTCTTTCATATCTGAAAAAAATCTTATGAGAAAATTGGTGAATGCCACAAATTCTCCTAAATCACTCGTATGCACAACTTAAGAACAAATTTGTTCATACGAACGTTCTTGCATGAGGCCCAATGAAACTGGCAGTCCTTTTAGCTTTGGCCTAACCTCGATGAGAACTTCTGCCTCTTTACTTTGACCAACGTCATGACAGATAAAGTACTAACTAGTGACAACTTTTAGACAGAACATCTCTGTTGGGATATGGCATGTCAGCTCTCTGATGGGGGAGGAGCTTGAGAGGCAGTTGGGTGCACCTTGAAGCACAGAACGGATGAACAACCCATTTCTTGTTAACGTCCCCTCTGGCAGTTGGGAGGTCACAGACGAAGACACGTGGTTTCAGAGTACATTATTCAGTGTGTTAAAAGTAGCGTGGTAAGAAACTCAGCCGCTCCAACTGTTGTGGGCTGATTCCAGGCATGTGTTCCTCAAGACTCTGTATGGTGCTGGACCTTTGCAACATCACAAGCACATTGGGGGTAGTGCCACTGGATTGGCAAACTGGGGGGATGGTTCCCCTTATTTCAAAAAGGAGGAGGACCAGGATGTGCGTTCCAGTTACATCACTCTTAGCCTCCTTGGTCAGGTCAATCCAGGGTTGCTGAAGAAGTCTGATCGAGGGTGGAACCTCAGATTCAGGAACACTGGACCAGCTTTTTACCCTCACTAGGGTCCTCGAGGGGTCATGGGAGTTTGTCCACCCAGTCTACATGTGTATTGTGTACTTGGAAAAGGAAATTGACCGTGTTCCTTGGGGTAGGGGGCTCAAGGAGCATGGAGTAAACAAGATATCAATAAGTGAATCTGATGACAACGTTACTGAGATAAACGAGTGAATTGCCAGAACCACGACCCGGTTGTTGTGGTCCCCAAAAGTAACCTAAAAGTACAAGTAAGTCTGGATTAGGGGTGCACTGATTGCAGTTTTCTGGCCAGTCACTGATCTTTAAATAGTCTAACGTGCAGATACCAGTTTTGGCCGGTATAAATAATTTAAATAACGGACACTGTCAGGTGTTATAAGGTCGCCTTCAATGTTCCAATCTTATTTTATTGAAAAACATTGAAGAATACAAACTTGCTTAACTGGACTTTAACTGGACAGAGCAGAGCAAAGGGGAACGGTGTCTGATTTTCAGACCTTTGTGGAGGTAGACTAGAAACCGAGCTTTTCCACCGATCTTATCTACGTATCGGCCGATCCCCCAAAATTAAGGAAATCATAGCCGTTAAATCTGTGCACCCATAGTCGATTAGTTCTAGACCCCCAGATGTGTTCTCATCACCAGGGGTCGGATTTATAAAACTTGCGTACGCCACTTTTCACGCCAAGGTTGTGA